CTCTAGAAGATTGGGATCAGTCCTGAATGTTTACGTGTTGCATTTACTTTTACAAAAAAAAAGTATATCTATATAAAATAATACAAAACAAAACCCTTCTCGGGTTTTTAATGGCGGTTGAACTATTCCCACATGTGGTCATCACAAAGTAAGCCATTCCTCACACCAAGGTGGGATAAGCTCCTTGACTTGTAAGTTGTAGGAGTTATCCTGCTGTGTTTTAGAATCCCTCCCCTGCCTTGTTTTATGGCAGTGAAATGTCTCTTGATCATGTCCAGGTGCGTCTTTCATGTGTCTGAGTTCTGAATCCTGTTCCAGTTGCTTGGCCCTGCCACTTGGGCCCAGTATGCATTTTGAGCATAACTACTAAATCTTTTTTCCAGATCAGTATAATAAAGGAGTGATGTGCAATATTTTCTGTGTGATGTGTATTATCTCTGTCTGAGGAAATCAGCTTGAACATTCAACCTAAAATGGCTCATTACCCAAGTCTTTGTATGACAGACTAAGAGCTTCAGGACAACCAGTCAAAATTTACATAGCCTGGTCCAAAATCGTTCATCACTAGGTTTTCCACCTCAGGTTGGTGGGTGGGGGTGGGTAGGTCTTCCTGGCTGAGCTCTCCATTCCTGTTGCCTCTACAACTCTTGCACAGTGGTGCTGGCTACCAGATACCCTTGACTGGAAAGTCAAATTCTGAAACTGTTGTGCCCTCTTTAGAGTAAGGTAAAGGCCTGACTAGATTTTTTTTAAAAAAACCACAACAATCCTTCTCTATTAGTTACTTATAGACTTGATTCACATCCTTCCTTTTGGCCCCTAAAGATTTTTTTAAAAAGTTTTATTTACTGATTTGAGAGAGAGAAACAACTTGCTGCTCTACCTATTTATGAATTAATTGGTTGATTCTTGTATGTGCCCTGACCAGGGATTGAACCTACAACCTTGGCGTTTTTCGACAACGCTCCAACAAACTGAGCCACTAGGCCAGGGCTGGCCCCTAAAGTTAAAAAAAAATTTTTTTTTAAATCCTCATCTGAGGATATATTTTCCATTTTTTTTCCAGACAGAGTGGGAGGGAAGGGGGGGGAGAGAGACAGACAGGCAGACAGACATTGATGTGAGAGACACACATCAAGTGGTTGCCTCCTGCTTGTGCCTGGACCAGGACTGAGCCTGCAACCAAGGTATGTGACCTTGGCTGGAATCGAACCCGGGACCCTTCAGTCTGCAGGCAGACGCTCTAACCACTGAGCCAAACTGGCTAGGGCTGGCCCCTAAAGTTTTAACACTGTCAGTGAATATCCTCAAAAATTACACATAACTTCTTAAAATGACTTGATGCAGAATAATTACATTATATACACAACTGGGGAGGGATGCTCACATTTACCTTCTCTCAGGCCTAAGGCCTTACTAGGAAGTAACATCTGTTAATTTAGAATGAAGTTCCTCTGCCAGCCACTGGGTGAGGCACCCTACATACAAAATCTCTAATCCCAACCACCTCTGAAAAAAGAACAGGCCAAAGGAGATGTAGAAACTTGTCAGAAGGTATTCTAAATACTGAAACCCAGGTGAAGGACGTTAGTTCAACTAAATCAAGGTTCTTATTCTAAAATTTGAATACTTTTAAACATCCTGGTTTTTAGGTTTAGTTTTTTATTTGACTGATACAGTAACCCTAGGAAGAACTTTGGTAATTTAAGTCTCCAACAGCCTGGTGGGATGTTAGTTTTCTTAGCCTGTACTGAATCTTAGACCAAGCTGGTAATTTTGTTTGGTTAAGTGCTCTTCACCAAAGTCAGACTGGGTCATCCTGGATTAATGTTACTCTATGTCCTGACATCTCCAGTGTACAGCAGTCTCCATTCCTTGTAATGTAAAGAGGTTCTCACTAGAACTGCCTGATGGGCAGGGAAATAACAGAAAGCCAGCATCATTTACCATTACCACTAGGAGGACAACAACTACAATCCTCCCAAGACAGTGCTTCTTAGCCAGGGTAGTACATCTGAATCACCTGTGGAGCTGAAAAACAC